CCCGCGCGCGCCGCCGCCTTGCCGCCGTTCGGGAGGCCGCAGCGCCCATCCGGCAGCAGCGCTGCCGCCGGGACCGCCGAACGGCCCCGCGCGGCACGGTAACGGTGCTCGCCTGATCCCAACCACCTCATCCAAGTGTGTGGCTGACCATTGTCCCTCTCTTCCCTCAGCCCTGCACAGTGCTGGTCTAAAAGCAAATTCATAGAGTTTGGCCCCTACTCCTCCTTCCCTCCTTCAAAAGTTACCTTTCTATACTAGGAATCCCCAAAGTTCTTGGATCAATCTGTTGAGCATCTAATTTAAAATGTGATTAGTTTCTTAAGGCTGTCTTTTGTCAGTATTAAATATTACTGGTCCATAAGGAGCTTGATACTGTCCTTCAGGAGTAATAGCACACGATGGCATGATAATCTTGGGTAACTTAGCCTAAAAGAACATGTGTATTGAAACTTGCACTGACCTCGAAAAAACAGGTTGTTAATTTACCTGGATTAGTTGCCTGCTTGCAACACTGGCAGCAACAGCTAATAGTAGATGCTTACAAGGTAAATAGAACCTCTCATTCAGTACCTGGCCAGCAGCATGTGCAAAAGAATAAAATAACATGCTAACTTTTCATAGGTATGTCATTTAATCATATTAATGTGTATTGATGTTAAGTGTGATAAATTAACGAAGAAAAATAATTGACTGCAAACCTAAAGAGGTCAAATTCTGCTAATCTGCTATTTCTAGTCCTGCAGCAAGAAACCATAACATAGGCCTCTGGATTTTGTAGAGAATGCAAATAAAGTAAATGGAATAGGATACAGGTTAGTGCTTTTGCATACATAATTAAAGAACTACTCATACAGTAAAAAATAATATAAAACATACCACATCCACTCTTAGGCACTGTTTTGAAGAAACAGTTTCATTACAAAAATACTGAATTTTCCATCACTTTCCTACATATTGGTGGGAAAAATCTTTTAGGATTAGTCTTAAAAGCAAATATCTATCTGTGTGTTCTTCAAAAAGTGTAAGCCAACTGCTAGCCTAGAAAAAGCTAATGAGCACTAACCTGCTGTTTCAGTTTTTCTACCTGTGGTGGAAAGGTAAATTAGAAAAACCTGTGGATCGTAAGAAATGCTGAGTTTTGTTGCATCATGTTAAGAAGAAAACCACTAAATTTAATATAGTTGCTGCCTATAATTCTATTCCAGGATTCCATTCCCCAACTCTAGCAGCAATATCTTCAGTGAGAACATGATATAATCATGTTTTGCATGCCAGCTTRCACAAGTTTGTGGCAAAAAAGGGGGACATACAGCTAGCGTATCTGGCGCTTGCACAGCGGATGCTTATATTCTGTTAACTACGTTACTGGATGTGTGTGGCATAAGCTATGCTATATGTGCCCACTATGCTGGGTGTGCGGAAAGTGTCRACAAATAAGTAGGCTCCAGCCTCTCTCTAAAACTTGAGAATTAAACTGGCCCTGGAAATGCAGCAGTTCCTCCAGTACTTCCTAAATGGAGAAGGATGATGGGCTGGACTGGCTCATGGGGTCATAGATAAACTTTTCTTTAGGCCAGCTGCTCTACAGTAAGTTTTAGGTGAAGCAGAACAGCAGAGCTGTGAGGGCAGAAGACCCCTAGCTGTAATGATAAATAATTTTATTTTTTCCTTCTTTTACTGTAGATTTGGAATGGAAAATAATTTACGTGGGTTCGGCCGAAAGTGAAGAGTATGATCAAGTGCTAGACTCTGTTTTAGTAGGACCTGTTCCTGCAGGCAGACACATGTTCGTATTTCAGGTAAGTTTGTTGATCCAGCTGTTTCTAAAAGTTGTGTTTATCTGATGTTCAAAGATGACTGTATAAAACTAAGTGGCACCCAAAAAATAATGGCAGAACAATCATGAARTCAGTTCTGTCTGGCAGGACGACTGTAACACTTGACTAGGCAGGCTAAACTGCATCAGAATATAGTGCCTTGTAAAACAAGGCAAGTTCAACAGTAGATAGYGGACATCTAGAAGGGAAGTGTCCAAAATCAACACTGTCCCAGGTAGTCTAGAGTTTAGACAATCCTGTGAAATACTATTCTTAAGCCAGAAGTCACTAAGAAAGAGTAATTGAGGAAAGGAAGATTGAAGAGGAATAGTACTAAAATGGCTTAATATCTTGGTCTGTTTTCCATTTTAGGTCAGTGAGAGGAAAAACATAAAGCAGTCTTAAGTCCTCCATAAGCTTTTATATCAAAACTTACAATGTAGTGCAGTTTTTCTACTTACTCAGTACTAGTATTAGTTTACTGTATAAGAAGCATGTGTAGGAGTTTTTGTGKTTTTTGGGCTTAATAAGTTAGAGAGCTTAGCGAAGGTAGATGCTATAGTATAGCACAGGGCATAGAGCTTAGGGCATGGCGCTCGGAAGATCTCGCGATGTCACGGGMGTTAGGAGYRTAATTAATTTATGCAGTTTACTGATAACCCCATGCCATACAAGGCGAAAAGTAGAAATTAGTCTCCCGACTGGGCAGTAGGTGAGTTTCCACATTCAGCTGGAGTATATAGGCAGACTGAACTGCRCAATAAGGGCCATTTTGCCGCATCCCCCRTAGTGATAACTGTGCTCTGGGGCCCAGGGGYGCGGACAACCCCAGGTCAGTCCAGCTAGCGAACAAGGCTTGCCGACCCCCGTCGGCAACGAGCATGCTAGCTGCCCATGTACTAGAATTCCATGTAACTTGCAAATACACCCTGGAGTACAAATATTTTTCAAAAACTACTGAATAAGGCTTCCTTATCACTCCCAGTCATTATTAACTTTTTTAAGAAAAAATCATTGAGCCTGGTGAGACAAATGCGTAAGGCATCTTGATTGAACGTGTAAGTCCCAGTTACCTGAAATCTTACAGGTACAAGTGAAATGTAAAAATAAAAGGAAACGTCCTTACACAGGGCAGGCTAAGGGAACAGCAATTAGGRTGAGGCTGGAAGTTACACTTAGCAACCACATAGGTGTAAAGGTAAATGCCTGTTTGGTTTTGGAGCTGAGCCTAATCTTTCCTTACAATAAATAAAGCAGATGTTTATCAAACTCATCCTTTAACAATTCCTCTATTTTCAAGCTGCTTTAGTTTATGGCATTAGTTGATCAGAAGCAGATGATGCTCTATTAGTCTTGAAAGGGGCTCCTCTATAGCACTTTATCCAGAGAAATTACCTGGCATTTATAGTGTTATAATTTAAAAGATGTCTTAGTTCTAATCTAAAAGATGCACTAATTCCAGTTAAGATGCAAGGATTCATTGGTGATGGGAAGGTGTTTATAAAGGCGTATGTTGGTTGCACCACAGTAAAGCCTTGCAAGTGAAATAGATGTGGCTTGCAGTTTCTGTAGGATGGTCTCATCAACTATGGCTATAAATGACACTACAGTTAAATGTGGAATAGGTGTATAAACATCTTGCTTAGATGGGAACAGGTACTCTTAAGAGATTCAGTACGCTCTATGTTAGGATAAATTATCCGTTTTATTTCTTATGGAAGTAAGAATGTGATGCAAATACATGAGACTTCAAGAGCTGTAGAATGGAGATGAGGGGAGGACTCCAATGTGTACATAGGAGGCTACCAAAAAAAAAACCTCCATTGCTGTAAGAAGCATTTGCTGATGACAAAGYTCCTTTACTTACCAAACTGAAGCTGCCTGGGAGATGAAGGGAACTAGTGAGGAAATGCCAGGAAGTGCAATAATGTAAAGAGATGGCACAGAGAAAGGAACCCCTGCAGAGACCTAAAGACTTGCAGATTATCCTCCGTTGTAGTTTCTTATGAAAACTGCAGAAGCAGCTAATAAAATGGAGTGCCACACAGCAACAATACCATGGGTGATAAAACTGCCTTTGTGAAATGAAAGCTGTGTCACTTGGAAGTTGTTGTCCTAGGCAGAAGATGGAGTACTGTTTCTCAGACTTACACAGTCAGCTCTTTTAATAAGTAGTGAAACTTGATTTCTTCTCTAATCCAACACACTTGACAATTAGTAATAAATTTGGAGGGATTTTAGGGTCCTTTAAGGAGGAATATGACTTATCTCTAACTTAGCACTGAGGTAGCTTCTCTGCAGTAATGGCTATGTGCATACATGTACTCCAGGTGGCCTTCAACTCTTTGACATCTACTGAGAGTGATTACATGAATTCCTTAGCTTTCTAACGTAAGAATGGCATATTCAGGTAGTGGTTTCTGTGTAGAAGCTATGAAGGCTCATGAAGAGCTTTGACATTCAAGGCATGAAGATCAGAATCTGTGAAAACKAATTCTAAACAATGCTCAATTTCTGTGATGTGCAGCCAAACAAAGTTTGGGAGCTGAGTGGGACTGGGAAGGAACATTGCTGTGAGCTCACAGCCCTATCCTAGGATATTATGGGACATATGATGACAGTGGGAGCCTGGAAGAGCTAAAAATCCCAGGTTGTGAGGGAAGTTTTATGGAGGTTTAATGAAGCAGTATCCGTTTGCAATATATTGTTCTGTAATTGCCCACTGTGGAATTCTAAGTCATCATGTGGTTCTGGGCAGTGAYAGTGCAAGACTGCTGAATTAAGGTAGTGGTTTCATCTGTACTGGCTGTTCTGGTATTTTCTTGGAGCCTCTGCAATACTCCTACTCCTTGGTCATCTTTTCCACTTCTTTGTACAAGATAGGAGGCCATTTGGGCATTTTCTATTCCTGCAGGACTGGAGGAAGGTGTYTTCTACTTGGTTCCTTTGCTGTTTMTCCCACTTCTGTATGCCCAGATCCCACCAGCAAAGTAGCTGCAGCTTCCTTTAAAAATCTAGACTGGCTTGAAAGCTCAGAACTCAAGTCTTAACAAAGAGCAGAAGCCAATGATGCGTGGCCACAGGGTCCCAAATTTCACAGTGCTAGAGAAAAACAGCAGTGAGGGAGAGAGCAAGAATTAATCCTATTCATGCTCTGTCTTCAGGCTGGATTCATTACGTTGGAGCCTTTCTAACGTGGGTTGTTAATACTAACTTACACAACACTGGTGGTGCTCATTTAAATATGAGRTGCTTTCATTAATGCTTAGATTGCTGTGACCTTTAAAGCAAATGAACCATCATGTTTTATTAAGTTTTGCTAGAAAGCATCTTAAAAGATGGATTTACRCCATGTTTTGTGAGGCTGTTTTCAGTAATTATCAATGAACTGCAGTGCCACGGTAAGACAAGACAAGGATGATGAGGGTTGCCTCAAACAGAATCATGTACAGGTTGGAAATGTATTTCCTCACATGTCTCGGGGCAAAGATGCACTTAACTGCATATGTTTTAACAAAGCTGGTGTGGGGATGGAGGCACGGAGTCATGGCACACAATATAACTGCTTTCTAAGTAGTGATTTTTCTAAGGAATGGTGCCTTAAATTAAGGGTATCTGTTTTTCACAATGCAGGTRTATTTTCTTATGAATACAAAGAAGACCTTAAAGCTTGCACAGAGTCTGCTTAGTGCTAAGACTAAGAGCCCCCTGTTAGATAGCCACATTGTATTTTTTTTTATTGTAATCAACTTTTTCCCTTTCCCATTTAGGCTGATGCACCAAACCCAGGGCTTATTCCAGATGCAGATGCAGTAGGTGTAACTGTTGTGTTAATTACATGCACCTATCGAGGTCAAGAATTTATTAGAGTTGGCTACTACGTAAACAATGAATATACTGAAACAGAACTGAGGGAGAATCCACCTGTAAAACCAGACTTTTCCAAGGTAAGATATATTTCCCAAGGAAATAGCTCCACTGCATTGGGAAAAAAGTCTTCTCAGTTTGCATAAGGGGARGAGGATGTAATGTGAGAGTGCTTCTTTGGGGAGTAAAATCCATATTAGTACCAGGGCAGACTTTTCCTGTGACTTTCATGCAGAGTTGCCAATGGCTGTAACTTGCTGTCCTAGAGTAAACTGTATTATCTTGAAAATGACTTCAGTGATTCATTCTTTTTTTTTTTTTCTCCTGTATTCATGCATGTAACACCCCCTCAAAGGGGAGAGTGAGGGTTGTCCCTTTCTTGCTGGGCACAAGTATAATCCCTGTATTTTCTTCCCTCTCAGCTGCAAAGGAATATTTTGGCGTCTAATCCCAGAGTCACCAGATTCCACATTAACTGGGAAGACAACACTGAAAAACTGGAAGATGCAGAGAGCAGTAACCCCAACCTACAGTCCCTGCTTTCCACAGATGCGTTACCTTCAGCATCAAAGGGGTGGTCGACATCAGAAAACTCGTTAAATGTTATGTTAGAATCTCATATGGACTGCATGTGACTAACCACCGTCGTTTTGGTACTGTACATGTGTTAAACTGAAAACAACCAGAACTATTTCCCTCCAATTCCATAAGTACATAGTTGACAAGCAATGTGAAGAACTTGTTTTAAAACATCCTGTAGAAAGTTTATAAAAAAAAAAAAAACAGTATTTGAGCAAATTGTGGAATATAAATACAACTATTTTTAAGTAACTGCTTTTTTTCTCTAATGTGTTATTGGTCTAAACCAAACCCAATTAAAGTATACCTAGTCTTTTCTCCCCCTCTCCCCTTTACCTTGTAAGCACTATTAAAAGCGAAAAGCTGAAAGTTAAAACATTCAGGCAAAATCAAGCAATAATGACTTGTCCTAATCTCTGATATTATTAAGTGCCCTTTAATAGCAGCTTAAGAACAAAGCTGTTATTAGATGAAGTTCAAAGAAAAAAGTGCTCTCAAATATACGTGTGTGTGTGTATATATATGTATCTCCAAAAATGTCCTCTCAGGGTGAAAGCAGCCTGCATAGTGTAATTTTAGGTGCAAGGTTCTCTTTCTTTTCAAGGCACATACTTGTTACTTAAAGCATGCACTTTGGGATTTGCCATCTGCTACCTCAGATTTTTGGACATTCTTTTTTAAATCTCTTGCTGTTTAGACAAATCGTGGGTTAATGGCCAGTGTTTCAGTTGGATTTAGGTAGATACCTAAATCCAAGGAACTTCTTTTCAGCCACTCCAATAGTATTCTCAGTTGGTTRAAAGGCTTCAAGCAATTATTAAACATCAGTAGGAATGGCATAAGTACTTAATGTTCTTCTGCAAGATGATTATGTACARTTGCTAGTTGGTAACTTTCTTAAAGTGTGCTTTATCCTTACAGTCTTTCTAGTATTAAGGAGTTTAAATGCCTTCCTCTTTTTCAGTTTCCTAAACATCTGCAACTTAAGACTGTTTGGTTCTGTGTCCCCTCTTGGGCCCTGCTGTAAATCAAGCTGCAGCCACTGTTGTGGCAGGTACTGCACCCCCAGAAATCCAGTGCCTGCCCTGAAGGTCTTGCAGCCCTCTTACCTGAGGCATCCTTGAACATAAAAGCTAGAGAGTAAATTGTAGGGACTTAGGACTATCATGATACTTAACATGTTAGTTAGTCCTTCTATTCCTCATCAGCCTTACTATAAATGTATATTATATGTGACTACCTAGGCACTTAGAAATGTAACATKTCATATTAGATTATGATTGTGTAGTTCACATGGTACAGGTAACCAGAAACACTGTGAGCCTCTGTGCGTTCTAGGCCCTAAGGTAAAGCTGAACTTCCTGATGCCTGGCAGACAGTATTGCTCYGAGTAAAAATAGGAACCTAATAGGGATGAACATGTCCTAGGGAGTTAGCATTTCTGTCTTTCACRCCAGCAGTGAGATTGTCCTCTTTTATAATATATATGTATACATGATATGTATCTTAAAATCAGTTTTTTTCACTGAGATGCTGAAAGGAATAACTGTACATGAACCTGCTTTTTTTATATGGAAAGCCTGGTGTACGTATGGCAGCTGAATAACTGACTTGTGCTGAAACTCACTGCTGTGTTGAAGGCTAAGTGTCCTGTATGCTCTTGAAAATCGCCCTGAAACTGTTAACATGACAACTAGCAATTTAAAATATTAACACYTAAATAGCTGTATGATTTAACTGGTACCCAAACCAAGCCATTACTTCCCTTGCACGTTGAAATTATGTAAACTCCCTAAGAAGATATATCTTTGACTTTCATTTATATTGCCACTTCAAGATACAGAGTGACATTTGACTTTTTTTTACKACCCTGGAGTGTTCGGTTTAAGCTATCTCTTAAGTGTAAGCACTGTAAATAAGTTACCTTCTGAAAGGCTGACAAGCCAATGAGGACAAACTTGATTTAAACTCCTGCTAGTATTTAAAATCATAATCACCCTTCAGACCCCTTGTACTTGTTGATACTAATGATTGAAACGAAAGCCTAACCCTGTGTGAGCAGAGGCAGCACCCCTGCGGGCAGCGTGCAGGCCTCTGCCTTGCAAGTGCTGCTGCGTGCTGGCAGCTGCCTGCAGCCCAATGCAAAATACTCGCAGCGCCGCTTCACCCCGCGAGCCCCTCGCTGTAGGGAGACCAGAGAAAATCCAGCCATGCACACRTGAGCCTGGGGGCATGAAACTTTGAACTGGACCTGGTGGACCACTGCACTGCAATAGAGCAGACCTGGTGTATGTACCAGGTGTAGCTGAGCCAGCACAGGAGCTAAGAACATCACATTACTGGGCTTGATGGGAACTAAGAAAGAGCAAAGGCGCCTCAGGCTCTGTGAGAGAGCCTCTCTTGCTGGGCTTCCTGAAACAGACACTGAATGTGTCTTGCACGTCTTCAGCAATGCTGTCCCCATGCCAGCATTCCATAAGGGTTTTACAAACGTCACGTTCCTGGGCAAAATCAAACTCCACAATTTCAAATTTAAGAAACCAAATTCCTGTTCTGCAGCCCTGATCATCAGGCAATACAACAGCACAAACTCAGTGGCACCAAAAGCTAGTGGATTTCAGTGATCTCTGTACAGACGTGTTCCTGCCGGTATCTCTAAAGGTTCAAAACAGACTTTTTCCTCTGACACACGGACAACTAGTGCAGCCAGTGTAATGTTACAGCTTCCAGGTCAAAGACAAGCTCATCCTCCCACTACCCTTTAGCTGCAGAGGCCACCTGCGAGAAAAGGAAATGCTGCAGCTTCCACTGCCAACACGGCGGTGCTGAACGGCACTATTTTGACCCTAGCTAGACTCGGTTCAATTAGCTGATTGTCACGATGCTCATCAGACAAGAAGTAGATGGATCAACACACCAGCATCATGGATGGAAAACAAGGGTTTTTATGCTTAGGTTGGCAGGAAGGGCACCTCTTCCCCTTAGAGTCACTGTGATTTGTTCATGTATCATCTTCCATCTAAATCACTGACACTGTTCAAGTGTGAAGGAGCCAGAAGCACAGAGCCCARCTCCATCATAATGGAGACTGCATTTAACTAACTCTCCAGTGGCTCTGCAGAGCTCCCCTGGAAGGCCAAGCCCTAGTCCTGGTTGGAAGGCTGCAGCAGCCCACATTCTCCCTACAAAAGCCACAGGGACTCAGTTGCGAGCCCATTGCCTGTTTGCATCCTTGAGATTCCAATCCAGGAGGGACCTGCTGGTCTAGTTGGCTACGTTCCTCTCTGCAGGATTGCCCACTGCCACCTGAAGATGGGAGCAGGAAGAGAAGGGAAAAACCCTCAGGCACTGCAAGCACCTCTGCATCCGCCAGGGAAGGAACCATGAGGAGCTGCTGAACCTTGGGGCTTCCATGTGGGCGGCTGGAGGAGCTCTCCCCTCCTGGCACCTCGGTGCACACAGGAGCCCGTGGGCTTCCCGTGCCAGGGGCTGCCCCTTAGCCGAATGCCACACACAGGAGGTACGATGGCCTGGATTAGACCCTTCTGTTTGTGTTCATGTCCCCAGCTCAAGTTCTGCTTCTTGAGAGCTGGTTCTCTAATGTGCGGTATGAAGCAGGCTACAGAAGACAGAGGAGGGGAGTTTTACTTGRCTTCTCAAGCAAAAAGAGTATCGATCTGGGGAGGAGGAACCTGCCGGAGTCAGGAGGGAGGCTGTGTTGAAGGCAAAGCAGCGCTTTGCCATCGGAGAACACAGGCCCTGGAAGGGAGGGAGRACACACGGCGGTGTCTGCGGCTACCGGAGGTGGGATGGGCCACCCGTGACCATGGCGTGGCTGGCGGGACTGGCCCCGCAGACAGATCCTTAAGCTGCAGATGGGCTAGGACTGAGGGAAGAGGCACCAGCACCGYTGTGTCAACAGCACCGTGAGGAACTGAAATGCTCTGAACTTGAGTGGTTCTTTGGTCTCCCTSCAGAGACCCCTTGGATTAGGAGATGATCAGGAGAGCTACCATCTCATGCAGCAGGGTCCTCTGTTTTGTTCTCAGCTCACTGCCAAGCCGTGGCAGACCTGTGTTGGTGCAAACAAGGAAGGAGCAGGAGGCTGCGTGGCACAGCAACRGCAATCTTGAAGACCTCTAGGATCACTCAGGATCCGCTGCTTGGAATGGCAGCCGGTTCCATGGCAGGAGAGGTGAGTCCACGCAAGGCCTCGCTCACAGCCCTATGCCAAAGCGCACGGGACTCACAGCACTTACTCCAGCCAGCCAGGCCAACGTGCACTGGACCTGCAGGTGCCCACAGGGTTCCCTGCGCAGCCCCTCTGCGRCAGGACACGACACCAATCAAAACCACAGAGCTCCTAAGGGTCAGAAATCCACAGGGAGGCAGCAGTGACGGGCCAGGCCTCCCCAAGAGCAGCCTGTGCCGGTTCCCATCCGGCCACGGTGACGCGCCACCCCGATCAAGCTCCAGGGAAAACGCGGATTCTCCTGCTGGGGACRATCTGGGCCCATGTACGGGAGCAGCCTTATGGCTACAGGGACATGCTGGCACTGCAAACCAGCTGTCTGAGCTCAGCGGTACGGCTGGAAGCCAAGGAGAACCCCGAAAGTGTCTCCTTCCTGAGAGCTGTGCATCGTTTGCGAGGGAATACAGGCATCCGAGTGACTCCTTGACATTCTCAGACGAGGTGTTAAATAGGAAGAAATAATCTTGCCACTTAGAACTGGCTTCCAAAAGGACAGGGAGACCTAGACTCGTCATCAAAAACGCTAATATACTCCCAGGGCAATAGAAAAAGTCAATCAGGAGATTTCCAAAGTAAGATCTGATGTGGAACTACCAATAGACAGCCCCCTAGAAGAATTACAAAACCCCCTTGGACTGTCAAATTATTTTGTATCTCATTCTTCCATGTTCTAAGATAACTGCTGCTAAGATAACTGATCACTTAAAGAAGCTTCCTCTCATCGAAGAGCAGAAGCTGTTCATTCCAAGTGTGCCATTCCAGCAAGGAAAGCAGAACAACTCAGTAGTTCCCTACACTCACCATTTGGAGCTTCTGCACGATGAGCAAGTTCATAAAATCAGGGTGTTAGGTACAAACATACTGATAAGCGAGATACTTCTCTTACAGGGATGACAAGGAGAAGGATCCAAAGGGCTGGAGACGAAAGCTTCAGGCCAGCAATTCCAACCATGGAAAGTGGCTCTGAAGACTCAGGAGGACCCCTTCAGAAAGGAGACCCATCTGCATGCACCAGGAGAGTCCAGAGAGCACACGAGGAGGGCACGTGCACCACAGCAAACCAGCGCGCTGCCGCAGTGCCCACTGCCRCAGCAGCGTCTCTGAACGCAGCAGCCACGGCTGCGCTGGGAAGCGGAGCCCAGGGCAAATGAAACCGCACGGGAGACAGAGGAGGGAGGCAACGTCGCCAGCAACACCCCGTTGGAGCAGGGCTGGGAACGGCTGGCAAGGGGACAGGGTCACCCTGAAACGCCGGCAAAACTGTCCCCTGGGCACTGCCGGCCCCTTGGCGAACACGTACATTACCCAGCCCGCCCTCGCTTCTGAACACGGAGCAAGAGGGGGAGAAAAGGTTACACTGAGCTAAAATACTCTCTCCGGCTTCTTTCCAGAAACATTTGTCAACAGCTTGAACGGCAAACTAGAGGCATTTGTATTTCATAACAGATTGCCTGCACAAGTAAGTAAGTAAGTAAGTTCAACATCATGTTTCAACATCACTTAAATAAACTGTTGCACTTGCACAGCTATGAATACCTAGTACACATAGCTAGAAGAGGGAAAGATTTTTTTTCTGGTTTTGCCAGGTATAAACAGTGCTGTTTCCCAGCCATAAAATGGAGGGCAGCACTGCCAGACAAAAAACCACTCAAGTTAGATGCGCTGAGACCTTTTTTTTTTTTTTTGGCCCCTAATTATTTCAAGATGTTTAATGTAGCTGTCATATTCTCAAATGGAATAATTTATAAAGGTGATCTAAGTCTCTATGCATTGTCTCCAGAAARGGTTTGTAAAGATTCCTGGCATTTTCAGCTATCTGGGACAAATCTAAAGTTAAAAGTAAGAAGAGCAAAACAAAAGAAAAGAAACAAAGAAACAGCACCAAGACACCCCCGCTCTCCAAAACCATCTCTACAAGTCCTCAGCACAGCAGGGTGTTCTCAGAAAGCGAGCAGAACTCCAAGGAGCTTCCAAACACCGACCATATGGGTCCAGACCCTGCTCTGCCTGGGAAGTGGCAAGAGGAGCCTCYGGCAGCTCCACGGCCGCAGCCCTGGGGGCAGGATGGCCCTTCCCCTCACAGACCCACCGGGATGTTCCTCATCCTGCTACGAACGCCCTCATCCTTAACACTCCGTGGAAACCCCCGGCGTCCCACCCGGAGCAGTTCGTACTTGCACTTGCAGATCCAATCCCTGCATCCCACACTCCGTGGAAACCCAAGGCGTCCCACCCACGGCAGCTCCTACCTGCGCTTGTAGATCCAATGCCCGCGGTGAGCACAGAGCGCGGCGTGATCTTCACCGCGTACTTGAGGAACTGGGATTTGCCCGTGCCCGGGTCTCCAACCAGCAGAAGATGGGATTCCCCTGGGGGAAAAACGGTCATGTAGGAGGATGTGGCACACACAGAGAGAAAGATACACACAGAAAGGCTTTGAGTTAAGCAATATGTATCATTCTTTATCTAACATCAACACTCCAYATATGTTATGATAAATCATTCTCTTCAAGACTGTATTATTACGYGCCACAAAGGCAATAATTTAGAAGTTTAAATATATCCAGAAACTATTGCACGTGTACGTACGCAAACAGTGTTTTAGATTTCCTCTGACCTACACAGACTGACCTGYGTCCCAGCTGGCACACGGCACATTTGCCATCTAATAACAACAGGAGGAGAATCAGCAGGCAGAAACCTTACAGGGACAGATCTAAGGGAGATGTGCTCACAATCACAGATGGAGAAATCTGGCACTTGGAAGTAAAATGAATCCTTTCATTTTTCCTTCAGTGTACTACAGCGATCCGTATTAAGGAAACATTAATATTCCATCCTTTGATGCCAAATACTACTGGGAATATTCTACTAGAAGGCACTTCAAGATGTCACTTCTACAGTAAAAAAGTGAGTTTATGTTTTATCTAAGGCAACTGCCTTTCATACTGAGGATACATGCAGGATATATGAGTCCTGAAAACACCCTCTCAGTGGATTTTATTTGGGAAAAATTAATATCAAAAGAGTAAGTCTAGACATTACTTTATTCTGGAGAGATTCTGCAAGAAGAGTCAGCTTTGATGAAAACTGCTCTCAGCCAGGTGGGTGGGGTGGTTACCCTTCTGCAAGGCTGCCCAATGGAGGTCGGAGCGAGGCGGGATGCGGCAGGGCTTGGGTTGGGATGCGGGGAGGCTGGGATGGGCCGCGGGAGGCCGGGATGGGATGCCGGGAGCGGGAAGGAGGGTGCTACGAACCTCTGATGCGCGTGCCGGCCGCGTCGACCCTGGGCACGCCGCCCGCCAGCACCAGCGCCACCGCCAGCTTCACCAGGTAGAGGCCGAACACCTGCGGGCAGAGGCTGCCCAGGATCTCRTTCCGCCCTGGAACGGCAGCAGAGAGAAGGGGCGCTCGGCTCCAGGGCCCAGCAGCAGGACGCGGGCAGGGCAGCAGGCTGCCTGCACCGACCGAGCTGCGCGCTGAAAACCCCGGCAGAACGTGAGCGTTTCTGAACTCCCACCTACTCCTTCGACATCTCCCCTCCAACATGGGTGAGCGGGACAGTGAAGAAAACTGAGCCACAGCTGAAACTMAGGATTTTGGCCTAAATCTGTGCACCACGTTGCTGTGCAGACACGGTGGGGCTCATTTTCACTGTCCTGAACCTCCTTCTCCTTTGACCCATCGGTCCTTTCATCTCCTCCTCCCTCCCRTATTGTCTTTGCAGCAACAAAATGTTTCAATCTGCTGTGATAGTTCTGCTGGCTTGGGCAGTGTGTAACAATTAATTCTGTCCTTTGAAATCCTGACACTAACAGCACRGCAGGGATCACAGTTTTAATACCATAAATTGCCTTCCCTGCTAGAAAACAGATCAGAGCACCCAATTTTGAGTTGTTAGCATAACGTTTTAAATTTGAATGCAAGCACATGCAAACCCTCAGAGAGATGTGGTAAAACATGCAGAGGCCTGAGGCGGGTGTCCCTTGTGCTCTCTGTGCCTGGGACACCTTGGTGTGATACAGGGCACCTTAGACTCGTTGGTCAAGCCTGATCTCTGCCCTCAGCACAGGGGCTGCAGTTCAGACAAAGAGCGTGGACGGGACAGGTCAGGCAGCAGGATCCTTCCCRTTGCAGCCCCAGTTCCCCTCAGCTCCCCCCATCTGCTGATTTGTCCCGAATGAGGAATACTGCATAAAACCACTGCTCACGCCAGGCTTTCCAAAGTCGTCCCAAGAATAACTGGAACTTTCAAAATGGATCCTGGATTTCTCTCTGAACCATTCTAGCAAGGTGGGTGGGAAATGTCCTCTATCCAAGCAGCAGCCTGGCCCTCAAACTGCCTTCTGGAACATGCACTCCTGGAGAATTCCTCGGCTTTTGAGGACCGCCAACTTCTCACATGGGTACTGTCAACTGCTGTGCTTAACGTGGGCAGCTCTGCCGCCTCCTAACGCGGGCTGCTGTTCCTCCCTGTTGGTATTTTAGGAAGATGAAACTCAGTTCAGAGTTTTGAAAAGACAAGGATATTGGGACAGAACAGTCCAGCAACGTGGGCCCTATGGAGCCTGTGGGGCCTTCCCGCTGTGCAGCGAGGGGCGCTCGGAGGCGCCGACGGTGCCATGGGCAGCAGCGGCCGCTTGGCTGCAGCTCCGGCCTGGGATGCCCCGTGGGCCGGCAGCCTCCCCAGCACGAGGCCCGAGAGCTCCTGGAGCATCACGTTAAAGGTGGGATGTGCTAAGCCCAGGGACAAAGACTGTGGCCTTGATTCTGCATGCAGAGACACAGGGTCCCATGTCTAACCTCATAGTCAACAAAAGCGTTTTTTCTTCTTCGTTATAAAACACCCTTCTACTTTTTTCCCCCGATACTTACATTATTTCTCATTTCTTATTAAGTGTTCCATAGAATATTTGAATGGAAAGTTCAAAAGAAGAAAGACTAAGGCAGCACATTTGGTACTGTTCCTTCATCAAYTTTTAAGTAAGAATTTCATGGCTTTGTACTGAAAAGAATATATTAATAGGTGGTGGGATAGAACAACAGGGAAAAAACATGGTCAGCTTCAGTATTTTCACTCCTGACTTCATCTGAACATGAGTCCTACCTTAACATCTTCAGCTACTAACCTGCTAGGGGATCATCCCTATGCTTTTCCCAGAAGTCCTGGAACTCCTTGCGGACGTCGTCATCCATGGGGCCGCGCGCGAGCTGCTCGTTGTTCACCTGCACGTAGTTGGCCTTGAGCACGAGCTCCAGGTCGCAGCGTGCGTCCTGCTGGAAGGGCCTCCAGCGCTGCAGCACCACGCCGTACACCGTGACGTCGTCCCCTGCGGGCGGCACCACCGCGGGACACCCCGGCTGGCCGCGCGCCGCCGCCGGCACCCGCAGCGCAGCCCGCACCCCGCGACAACAACCCCTGCACCCCGTTAAACCAGTCCCGAGAGCCTCGGGCCCAAGCAGCCGCTTCCCGCAGCCGCTGAGCTCTAAACCAGGCGCTGTCGGGATTCACAGAATCACAGAATGGGTGAGGCTGGAAGGGACCTCTAGGGATCATCCAGTCCAACCCCCCTGCTCCAGCAGGGACACCCAGAGCACGGGACACAGGGCGGCATCCAGGCGGGTTTGGAAGACCTCCAGAGAAGGAGACTCCACAGCCTCCCTGGGCAGCCTGTGCCAGGGCTCTGGCACCCTCACAGTGAAGAAGTTCCTCCTCACATGGAGATGGAAATGCCTGTGTTTCAGCTTATGGCCATTACCCCTGGTCCTAAATTGTTTGTGCTCCTGTGCCTTGGGTAGAAAGTCACCTTGTCTTTCCACAAACTCATCTTAGTTTTCTTAGTTTTGGCTAACTTGGCAGGGGGTGAGTAAATCTCATAGTCAGGAGGTCAGTAAATCTAATGGGAGAGCTTTACAAGTTCAGTGAAGAAATAAGCACAGAGGAAAAAGGAAACTCTCACTGAGCTGTAGGAGCTCTTCTTTCTGCTAAATCCACTCCCCCAGATTCATGCAGTGTGGCTGCTGAAAACTCAGTGGCCAGTGCCAGCACGGCCAGGCCACAGCACAGTCTGAGTGAGCACCACCACCACCACGTTTCCTGGCGGGACGGCACCCTAAGTTTAACAGATTTTAATGACTACATACAGTTTTCAGCCCTTTCTTCCTGCATCCTCCCACCCATCAGCTTCCTTTTCGGAAGCCAAGCAGCTGCTCCCATGTGCAGTGCTCCTCAAGCAGGAGGTTGGGCTACACGGCCTTCTAAACCTGCAGCGGGGCACCACTCTCTGCTTCAGTCCCTTCCAGCTGGACCAGCTTCCTCAGGAGACTTGGGATTCTGACACCAACAAACTTTGCTGTGTGCCACAGCACAGCACGTACAGAAAGGGATCCATCAAACACTCAAGGTGTAACATTTTGGGGTGTTTTGGGTATTTTCCACCATAGTCTTCAACTGCCACACTAACTTCCAACTGGAACACCAACGCGGCAGATGAACAGGCCTCGTCAGACCTCAGCACTGCCACCCAGCTTCACACAGGGTCATCTCGGGAGGAAAACCACAGATGTCTGCGGCACAAACACACGTGACAAAGGCTGTGTCCTCACCAGACTTGCAGCTATCCACGAGGTCATCTTCTAGGATCACCACCATGCAGCGAGGGATGCTTCCAACAGAGAGCCTCTGCACCTGGAAGGTGGAAAGCAAACGCCTATAGGAACAGCACCTTTTAAAAGCTGCTCTTTTTGAAGGATCTGTTGCCCCGGTGGAGGGCAACAAAGATGATTAAGGGACTGGAACATCTCTCATATGAGGAGAGACTGAGTGAGTTGGGCCTGTTTAGCCTGGAGAAGACTGAGAGGGGATATGATCAACATGTATTAGTTTATGAAGGGGGAATGTAGGGAGGAAGGGGCCAAGCTCYTCTCAGTGGTGGCCAGTGACAGGACAAGGGGTAATGGGTGCAAGCTGCAACACARGCAGTTCCATCCCCAYGTGAGGAGGAACTTCTTCACTGTGAGAAGTTCCTGCTGCACCTCTTCTTTTCACCAGGGCAAAACCTATGCAAACTTGCCACAAGCTATTTCCATCTGGAAAGCTTTTCACTGCACAGAAGAGCTTGCAGGTGCTAAAACACACGCAGCACAAAGAACAACAATCAGAAGGCCCTATTAGAAACCTAGGCCCATTCACCCAGTTCTCTGGCATCTTCTCATTTGCTCAGACATTTGGGGTTTTTTAAGTAACAGAAGAATCTAGAGAGATTTGCGACTTATTTTAGTACATAAAATAAAGAAAAAGGCAATAAACTTAATTCTGATGTAAGTATGAGCAATCTCATTGGAATCAGTTGCGCTATACCAACGTATCACAGAATCACAGAATGCCCAAGGTTGGAAGGGACCTCAGAGGTCATCGAGTCCAACCCCSCTGCTCACGCAGGGTCACCTAGAGCACGGGGCACAGGGCTGCATCCAAGCGGGTTTTAAAGATCTCCAAAGAAGGAGACTCCACAACCTCCCTGGGCAGCCTGTTCCAGGGCTCACTGTCAAGAAGTGTTTCCTTAAGTTCCTGTGGAACTTTTGATACCTCAGCTTGTGGCTGTTTCCTCTAGTCGTATCGCTGGCCACCAGTGAAAAGAGGCCGCCCCCTCCTCCTCACTGCCTCCCTTGAGGTATTTATACACGCTGATCAGGTCCCCCCTCAGCCTCCTCTTCTCCAGGCTGAACAGGCCCAGCTCCCTCAGCCTTTGCTCAYAGGGCAGATGTTCCAGGCCYCTGATCATCSTCGTAGCCCTAAGCCCCCAAATGCCTCCTTCCGATTTCTTTTTCTTTCTTCTACTTCAGACATTTATTCCTTTTCGCTCCCCSCSCTCCCCGCTGCCAGCCCGCTGTTGTCACCTGCTCCTGGATTTTGATCTCCTGGTAGTCCCTGCAGCGCGCGGGGGCGGCGGCGGTGCCGGCGAGGCAGGTGAAGGCGCTGGAGGTGCAGCCGGGCGCGCCGGGGCAGCGCGCGGGGCGGCAGGCGCCGTGCCGCTGCTCGGGGTCGGCGCCCACGGCGAACACCTGCTTGCACTTGTTGCACATGTAGGTGCGCTCGAACTCGAGCACGTGCGCGGCGCTGGTGCGCACCACGGTGCCCGTCACGGACAGGAAGTGTCCCACGTCGCGCGTCCGCGGGATGTGCTCCCGCGTCAGCTCCGGGCACACGGGCAGGCCTGGCGGGACAGAGGGCTGAGRGCAGGCTCGGGCAGCGCGGGGAAGCAGCAGCACCGGGAAAGCAGCCAGACACACACGCTGTCATCGCTCCTTCACTAACAGTGTCCTTCCACAGTGTCTGCTGCCCCACAGACCCGCGTCGCTGCCCCCCAACAGGGACACCAGCCCCAGGGGAACAGACCCCGACACTGCCGACGGGAATGAACCGTTCGCAGAGGCCGCCGATCCTGTGGCTGGTTTAGGCCAAGCACAGCCCTGCGCCCAAGCACAGCCCAAGCTGACGGCTGCGGCTCTGGGTCACAGCTCAGAGCCCCGGGCGGGCGCTGGAGCCTACGGGGGGTTTCACACCCGCGGCCCGCGAGCGCCCGGCCCCACACGCAGCCCCAGCACCCAACCCGGCCCCACACGCAGCCCCAGCACCCAACCCCGAGCGCCAGGGGGGCGGCCGAAAAGGAACACAGGGATTAGGAACCGGGCCGAGCGAAGGCACCTGCAGGTGCAACACCAGCGAGGGAAGGCGCTCGGATCCGCTCCTGCTCCCCTAGTTCCAGCACGGCTGGAACCCAGCTGGGCAGCCCACAGAAACCTCTGCCAAACCCACGGGCTCTGCAACACACGCGGCTGAGCACGCCACCAAAGCCAGCACCTCTGCGGGACCTATCCAATAACCATTAACTGTAGGCTTTCCCTGCAGCTCATCAACTTGGAATTACCTTCTCTTAAATTTTCTGTTTTCTTTTTTTTAGTTTTCCTTCTGAAACAGAGCTAGGAAATTAAGAGAAAAATAATAAATGTGCTGGAAAATGATGTTTCTAAGGGAACTAAAAATACCTGGGCATTCAGGTCAAATCTGCTTATCATTGGCTGGTAAAAACATGAAAAAATATTGCAAATTTCTCAGTATTTTTTTTTTTTTTAGCTTCAGACTTGCTGAAGCAAAACGTTCCTTCTTGATTCTTTCAAAAAAGAAAAAGTATTTAGCCTTTATTTGTGTTCTAACAAAACTCTTTACCCATTTTATCGACTCTGCTGGAACCTGTTACTCTCCCACGGGTTTCTGGGTTTCCTCCGGTTAGGCCAAAACAAGAGGGGCAAAACAAACCCGACCTTGCCCGGCCGTTCGGCGGCTCCTCCGTGGCCAGGCCGGCACTGGATGCGGCCGGTCGACGTTCCCGAGGGCCGCGCGCGCAGGGAACGCGGGCCGGGCCGAGCGGAGCCTCCCGCCTCGCCACAACTACAGGCGGCACCAACTACAGGCGGCCGATGGTCTGGAGGAGGCGGCTGCAGCCAGGGCAGTAAGAGAGGGGAYGGAGCACGTGGGAACGAGTGTCCTTCCCGCTCCCGTGGCGCCTCCGGCCCCGCTCCCGGGCGATCCGTGACCTCCTGTCGCGCAGGCCCGACCGGCCTCTGCTGCCACCCTCAGCCACATCTGCTCCCGGCCCTTGGGAAAACCCTCTCATCCAAGCCATCCGGTCGTGCCCGGAGCGGCCTAGGGAACATCCAGACAAAACAGGACTGCGGGCGGAGCGCCCGGCACCGGAACGGGCCGACAGCAGCCGCGGGAATGTCGGGAGCAGCGGCGGCAAAGCCCAGCGCGCCTCCCTCCTGCTCCCGCGTCCTCGCAGCCTGTGAAGCGACCAGAGCTTTCCAGGAAGGACAACCCTGTCCTCGTGCCGAGGTGGGAATTTCAGCGCGCCGTGGGAAAAGTGCTAATCCGCTCCTATTGCTACAGGGACACCCTGGAAACCTGGTACAAAGGTTTCCCTGTGGGTGTCCCTGAGTGCCAGGGTCCGYGCGGGCCCCGCGGCAGCAGCTCCACGTTTCCCTCCCTCTTCCCTAAGGCACCKGCCAGACCGGCACCGCCGCGGGACGGACCCAAACCCGCCCGCGCGCAGGGCGGGAGCAGGCCAAGCCAGAGCGGAAAACCGGCACGAGGTCCCGCTGGCGCGGCCGTTCCCGCTCCGCCAGCGCGCCCCGGCTCCGTGCCGGGCGGCGTGGCGTGGCGGGAACGTCACCGTTTTGGGAGCCGGTTCCCACTCACCGGCGATGCGCGCGTGCACGTTGTCCTTGAGGCTGAGGCCGGGGCGCGCGCCCGCCTCGCGCATGGCGGCGGCGGCGGCGCGGCGCAGGGCGCCGTCCAGCACGGGCAGCACGAGGCGCGGCGCGGCGCTCAGCCACTCGCCCAGCTCCATGCTGGCCTCGAAGAGGCGCACGGCGTCCACCACGAGCCCGTAGTGCGCGGCGGCGTCGCGCGCGCCCAGGATGCGCAGCAGCTCCTCGCGGTGCTGCTGCAGCACGTACGCCTCGAACGCCTGCCCGAGCAGCG